AGTCTCTTGTGCTATACTCCCTGACACAGAGTTTGCTTCTTTCCCTGCTGCAGCAGCACACTGGGTTGACACTTTCATTGAGCTATCCACTATGACCCCTAGAGCTTTTTCCTGCTCAATTTCAGCAAGTTCAGACCCCATTAGCCTATACCAAGTTGGGACAAAGTCCCAGTGTGCATCATCTGACAGTTACCAGCACTGAACTTCATCTGCCACATGGTCACCCACTCACCCAGTTTGTGGAGGTCCCCTTGGAGCTCTTCACAGTCAGCCTTGGACTTCACCATCCTGAATAATGTTTTGTCATCTGCAAATTTGGCCACTACACAACTCACCCCTGATTCCAGATAATTTATGAATAAATTAAATAGTACCATTCCCAATACCGATCCTTATGGGATCCCACTACTTATTTTCCTCCATTATGAGAACTGTCCATTAATTCCTACTTTTTGCTTCCTGTCATTTCATCCATAAGTCTTTGCTGAGGTACCTCATCAAAAGCCTTTTGAAAGTCCAAGTATATAATGTCTACCAGATCACCATTGTCTACATGCTTGTTCACTTTCTCAAAGAACTCCAAAAGGTTGGTGAGGCAGGACTTCCCTTTGCAGAAGCCATGCTGATTCTCCCTCAGCAGGCTCTGTTCCTCTATGTGCCTAACAACTCTGTCTTTGATTACAGTTTATACTAATTTGCCTGAGACAGACATTAGGTTGACTGGCCTGTAATTTCCTGGTCTCCTTCTGGATCCCTTTTTTAAAATTGGTGTAACCATTGCTACTTTCCAGTCTTGTGGTGCAGTGGCTGAATTTAGAGATATCTTAGATCAACTATCTCACATTTGAGTTCCCTAAGAACTCTTGGGTGTATGCCATGAGGACCTGGAGACTCATTTGTTTTTAATTTCTCCAATAGGTCTAGAACTTCATCTCTGGTCACCTCAATTTGGCTCAGTTCTTCAGACTGCCTTCCGGAAAACAGTAGGGCTGTAGGGCTGCCAGCCGTCAGGTCTGGGTGGGGGGTTCCCTGCTTCTGGGGGCTTCAATCCACCCCCAGCCAGCTGGCTGGCAGGAGAATCACTGCCCCCAAACCCTGTCCCCAAGAACGACCACCCACTCGCCCACCCCCTCTCTCCTCCTGCCCAAATTAAAGGGCTTCAGCTAATCAGCGGGGACCACGTGGCCCGCCGACCAGCTGGAGGGCCCTTTAAATCTAACAGGAGGGAGGGAGGGGGTGGTTGTGGGCCACACACCTAGCTCACAAAAATACCCTTTTAAGGGTCTTTAAAAGGTCTTTTTGCAAGCGGAGTGGGGGCTGTGGCGCTCGAGTCTGGGTTGCCCCTGTCCCTCCCTCCTGCTAGATTTAAAGGGCCCTCCAGCTGGTTGGTGGGCCATGTGGTTCCCACTGATCAGCTGAAGCCATTTAAATTGGGAAGAAAAGGAGGGAGAGGGGTGGCCAGGTGGATGGTTGCTCTTGGGGGCAGGGCTTGGGGGCATCTCCACCTGCCCCCAGAACACCCCCCAAATCCCCCTGCTGGAGCGATGGGGGACCTGGCACCCCTATGACTGTGGCATGGGTACATGCCCCACACTTTCCACAGTGAACACAGAAGCAAAAAATGCACTGAGCTTCTCTGCCATCTCCCCATCTTCCTTTAGCAATCCCTTTATTCCTTTGTCATCCAAAGGCCCACTGCTTCTCTGGCTGGTTTCCCGCTCCAGATATATTTTTTAAAATGTTTATTGTTTGTCTTGATGCTTTTAGCAACCTCAAAATCTCTTTTTGCATGCCTGTTGGCTTACATTTCTTTTGCCAGGGCCTGTGGTCCCTCTTTTTCAATTCATTGGGGCAGGCTTTCCACTTTTTAAAAGAAGCCTCTTTACTTTTTATAGCTTCCTTGACCTGTTAACCACACAGACCTTCTTTTAGACTTGGCAGTGCCTTTCTTAACCTATGGCATGCATTATATTTGGGCTTCAGTTAGTGTGATTAAAAATAGCTCCCAAGCATCCTCTAGGGATTTGACTCTTACGTTTCCCTTTCATCTTCCTTTTAACTGTTCCCCTCATTTTTGTAAAGTTCCCTCTTTTGAAATCAAATGTTACAGTTTTGGACTTTAGGGGTAACTCTCCATTGACCTGAATGCTGAACTTAAATAGCATTGTTGTCTACATATCTCACCAGTTCTTGAGACCCACTCAGAACCAAGTCCAAGACCACTACCCTTCTGGTTGGCTCTGTGGCCAACTGTTCCAGTGGCACAGTCATTTATACTAGAAACGTCATTTCTACAGCATGGCTCAAGCACATGTTTACCCAGGCAACGTGAGGATAGTTGCAGTCTCCCAGTATAATAACATTACCTGCTTTAGTGATCCTCCCTGCCTTCTCCATCTCAAGATCAGCCTCAGGTGGGTGACAGTATATTGCTACTGTTAAGTAACACCAGGGCTCTAGTCGGGGGGGAGCTCTCAGGTACGGAGCTCCGGGTGGGGCGGTCACGTGGTGAAGCCCCGCCCCTTCTTTACCCCGCCCTCTGCTTCGATCCTCATTCCGTTTGGGAATGAGGATGAAGCAGGAGGGTAAGTAGCCGGGCCTTCTGACACACTTCCGGTGATGTCAGGGGGTGTGGCCTTCTGTCACTTCCGGTGATGTCAGGGGGCGTGGCATATGCAAATAAGTTATGCTAATGAGTTATGCTAATGAGCTCCGGCAGCTCTTTTTCTACAACAAGACCCCTGAGTAACACTTAGGGCCCAATATTCCCACCCATATCGCTCCTGTTGAGGAGTTAATTCCCCTCAAGTTTTCTAACTTATTGGATTCTAGCCCCAACACACAGCTTCCTCATTATAAGGAAGTTTTCTAACTTATTGGATTCTAGCCTTCCTTTTATATACAATGCAACATGTCCACCAGCCCATCCCTCCCTGTCCTATCTATAGAGCTTATGCCCAGGAATGACTGTATCCCATAGATTTTCCCCGTTCCACCATGTTTCTAAGATGCCTACTATATCTAAATTTTCATTGAGCACCAAGCACTCCAGCTCTCCAGTCTTGGCTCAGAAACTTCTAGTATTGGCATAAGGATACCTAGAGTGTGTTTCCGTCTCCACACGTGGCCCTCATTTGCCATTCTACCATTGCTCTGAAGTTCTATTATGCTCTTATCAATATTACCCTGAGTGTTTATGCAGTCGTCCCTTTGGACTGACTTCCTGAACTGGAGGCTCCCCAGCCTTTGTTGGCTCGCTCTCCTCTCTCCAGGGAGCACGCTAATACGGAGTGATTTATGCCTAATCAGGCAAAATGGTCAAACCAGGAAAGAGCAAAAGAGTCTTAAGCAGTTGCATTAGAGATAGTCCACCTTAAGCTATTCCAAACTAAGACAGCTCATACCGAGACTCTTTCTGGATGGGACCTCTTACCCAGCAGACGTGTGCCTGCCAGTGTGTTCTTCTCTCATGCTCCCCAAACTTACCATACACGTCTGCCACTTTGAGCTCCCCATCCTCATCAATCTCCACTGTCTTCTGACCATTCTCGAGAATTCTGCAAAATAGGTCAGATAGTTTCCCCAGCTGTATGATGTGAAGCACCTGCCACATTGCATTCCTGTCAGTCAAACATGCCCCCCACTACCCACATGCCCACACAGAAGTATTCTTCATGACCGTTCCCTCCCTCTGGAAGCTCAACTTATAGGCCAAATTCCAGCATCTTTCCAAAGCACTGAATGACCTATCTTTATGTGCTGGCTTTTTATGGTTAGAGCTCGCATCTTTCCAAAGCACTGAATGACCTATCTATGTGCTGGCTTTTGATGGTTAGAGCTAATCAGGCAAAATGGTCAAACCAGTTCCTGCTGGGCGTGGCCAACTCAGGAGCCAGCCGGAACTCCGTTCCTGCCCCAAAATAGCCCTGGTTAGAGCTCAGGTGACATGGGGTGAAGAATGTTAATTTAATTATTATTAACTTGTTTTCAGTGGATTATGGCACTTAGCTGTCATGGGATGGGGCCAGGCTGCAAATCTCTAGAATGAAAGTGATTGTGTAATTAAAATACTTGTAAATGATAGTATTAAAAGGGTCATAGGTAAAAATTATTCTTTGAGCATCAGTGTTGGGGTATAATTCAGTTATTTCCTCAATGATTTGTGCATGGGAGTGAATAAAATAATTGACATATAGATGATGGAAAATGGGGAGGAGTTGCAAACATTCTAGAGATGAGGCTATACATTCAGAAATATCTCAAAAACCAAGAAAGATGAACAAAAAGAACAAAGTGGAAATTGAACAAGTACCAATTCAAAGTGTTACCCTCTACCTACAATGATGAGCTCTCGTTTCCAGTATGGTGTTTCATTCTGGATGCTACAGATTACAAAATGGCAAATATTCAAAAACAAGCTGCAATACATTAATAGGTTTTGAACACAAATCCAGTGAGGACAAGCTTAAAGATGTTTGGGCTCATCAAAAGAAAATTAATTGGTAGAAGGGGAAAACAGGCTGGCAGTTTTTAAATGTTTAAAAAGCTCTCAGAAAGAAAATGAAGGTACAAGACCAAAACAATGGGATGTAGATTTAAGTTAAGTAGTAGGAAGAATGAGACTAAAAAGTGGCTTTGAGTTTCTCTCCCACTATTTATGCTGCATTTAACTGTAGGTAATGAGGGACAAATTGCAGAAGAGAACTCAGATGTCCATTCTAGCTACTATAGGTTTTACATTCACATTATAAATCTACTTAAATACCAATTAATTTAAGGCTTCTGCATGGTATTTCTTGTCACAGGAATTCAACAATGGAAGGAACCACATGGCTCCCTGTGGAGGCCAGGGAACCTTCACCCCTGGACACTTGTCAAAAAAGATTGGGGTGGCTGGAGGAAGCTTTACATGGGCTGCGGTCACACGGAACATTAGCCACGCAAGAGAGACAGAAGACAGGCGGATTTTCCGGGCGCGATCTCACCGGCACATCTGGGAAGCGTAGCGCTTCCGTGGCACAACCGAGGCTTCCCGCCGAAAACGCGCAGCAAAAAACTAGTGCCTCAGAGGTACTAGTTTCCGGAAACCGCGGGGCAAGGGCAGGCGTCTGATCGCGTTTCCGGTGGCATCCGGCACCCGCCCATGTCCCCTTGCGAAAAAGGTTGTTTTTTTTTCAAGTCTCCGTGGATGCGCACACGCACCCAACGGAGCATGCACATTTGTCGTGTACACAAAAAAAGAAAACCAGTTTGCTGCACCGCGCACTTCTTTGTTGCGCACAGGCGTGTCCTGTGATCAGCACCTCTCCCTACCCACAGAACCTTCACGGTACCTCCACAGGACCTCCACGGGAGGTCTGATCGCTTAACCGCGCGTTAGTTTGCCCCGGGGCAAACAGCCACGCTTCCCACCCCCCACCCCCCGCAGTTTCCTGCCCGTGTGACCGGAGCCATGGTATATTTTTCCAATAGAAAGGTGGCTGGCTGTGTTAGATGGCCCAAGCAGTCTTTTCTAGTGTTTAGACGCTGTCATCTGTAGACCACCGATGAGAGAGGCCACCCTTGCAGTGTGATCATGCGACCCAGCAGCTGGTGTCATGGGGCTTCTCTTGCTACCTCACCTCCTGGTAGTTATCCGCTTGCCACTGATGCACTTGGTTGTTGTGGAGATCGACCGGAAGCCAATTCCCATTTCAGCACCAGGTCCGAAGGTGGTGTAGAAGTCTAGAAAACAGGTCGGCATCACCACTGAGAGGTACATGTGCAAATAGCAGAAGACTCAAGAGGCTCTTTAGAGGCCTTTGTGAGCAAAGAGTCACAGCAGTAAAAGCTGGCAGCTATATATATGATGGGAGCAAATGCTCTTTATATTTTTGAAAATATTCAGAAATGAATTGTTATGAGCTGACAGAACCAGAAGAAGCTAGGACCAAAAATGCAGAAACCAAAAACTGAAAATCCCAGACGGATGGATTGTGGCATTGTCTGCAGTGGACATGTACAAATAGTGTGAGATAGATTGTCACTGGGTTCTTCAGAGTACTCAGAGCTGCAAGGCAATGGGGAATGCATACCCTTACCTGTCTGGCCCGGGGAAGTATAGGAACAGTAGGAGTAGGTGACACCTCCTGGCATGATCAACTGAGACACTCCATCATCCTGAACTATAAATGGGGGGAAATCATCTAGAAAACAGGGAGAGGCTTATTAGATGTGCTCTTACAACAGAAGTGACAGTTAATATAACAATGACAATATACTCCAAATAATAATAATAATGATAATGATAATAATGATAATAATAGAGAGTTATTGTGCTGTAGTCGTTAGAGTGTGGGAGACTCGAGTCCAAATGTCCACTCTGCCATGAAATCTTGCTGGGTGACCTTGAGTCAGTCATACACTTGCAGCCTAACCTATCTTACCGGGTTATTGTGAAAATAAAATGGAGGAATGACGTAAGCAATTTAGGGTCCCCACTGGGGAGAAAGACAACAGCATACATGAAATAAATATTAATGCATGGACCAATTCACTAGGAGACCTGAGCATGCATAAACTTATTTCAGTGCTTTACAATTAAACAATACAAATTGGCAAGTATACTGTATCTGGAAGGGAAGAAGGAAATCCTCTGTAATGTTCCAGGACTGGGCAACAGAGCAGGATCTTGTGGTTGAACTGCAAGATTAGAGAGGAACCTGTATCTAAAGAGGCTTGGCACCAGTGTTCCCTCTAAGCTGAGTTAGTGTGAGGTAGCTCACAGTTTTTTAGCCTACAGCTCACACATTTTTTTCTCAGCTCAGGAAGGGATGGCTCCAGAGCAGACTAATTTAGGCAGCAGCCAAATCGCTCGCTCACCACTTTCATGCCAGCAGCTAACAAAGTAGGATTTTTGCTCACAAGACTCCACAGCTTAGAGGGAACATTGCCTGGCACCCTTCCTCAGTTCTTCCCTACGCACAATTTTCAAAGGCAAGGAAGGCCCTATAGATCATACTAACATTCTAAATCTGGAGCTAGAGAAACAATAAACCCTCAAGCTTCATCTGTTAGCTATTTATCTCATGGATTCGTAAACATTTCTACAGTCCCTAAAGGGTTTGAAACAGCTGTTAATAGGACTGTCCAGTAGGTTCGTGGTTATTCTCGGGATGCACTGCAGTAGTCTTGAACCTAGAAGTTCATGCCCCCAGTTTGAATCCATCCACACAAAATATTTTGAATCTATGTACACAAGCATTCACTAGAACCAGTGGTAGTCTTGAACCTAGAAGTTCATGCCCCCAGTTTGAATCCATGCACACAAAATATTTTGAATCTACAAGCATTCACTAGAACCAGTAGAGTACTAGGGATTGATCCCATGGTTGAACTGGATGCCCAAGGCAACCTGTCAGTTACCAGTTTTTTTTAAGCCCCCCCCCCAAGCTTTCCAGTGTTTGTGGAGGAACGGGCAGTTGGGGGAAGGGGCTTATGTAAGAAAAATGGCTCATGTGGTTGGAACTTGCAAAAAGGCACACCTTCCCATCTGCATGGCATCCAAAGGTGCTTTGGCTGTGATTTTTCACAAAAGATTGTACCAAATCAGGGTGGGGAAATATTGCAGCTGAGTAGGGGGAAATATGGAAACAGGACAAATAGATGATAACGTCATCTGGATGTTTCTGAAACCAACACTGCTGTAAAGGAAGCCAAGGTGGAGCAAAACATCTGTGTGGAAACAGCCCAAGTCTCCACCTTTATATTTCAAATTCACCTTTCCTTCCAGGCATCTGAATTAGGTGGGTCCCTCTCTGCATCCTTACTGGATGGATGACAGATGGGTTGTAGCCTTCCAGGTTTAGCAGCCCTGCCTCCATTTTCTAGGTTTCTGACAACAGTATCCAGCATGGTCTAAATTCTAGACATCAAAAACCTGAGTTCAAAACCATGTGTCTAGCCGCAAATGCTGTCCTTGAGAAAGTCAAATGGTTTCTAAGCTTCTGTTCCCCATCTGTAAAATGGGAGTATTTATTTGCTTGACTTTGGACCAGCTAGTGATAACTCCCTGCCAATTAAACTCTTACGTTACTTCTGCATGTGGATGATTTCAGTTTTCCCTCTCATTGCCTCTATGGACGCAAGGACAGTCACAGTGTGACAAAACAGTCTCTGCACAGAATTTTTCTCTATGCTTTCCCCTCCTACCTACCTCCCCCTCCACCACCTGCAGGATTTTTGCCAAGTTTTTAAAAAATCAGTTGTTGCTATATTGTTGTCGTGTTTTAATATCCATACCAATGTTCCCTCTAAGCTGTGGAGTCCTGTGAGCAAAAATTCTACTTTGTGAGCTCCTGGCATTAAAGTTGTGAGCGAGTGATTTGGCTCCTGCATAAATCAGTCTGCTCTGGAGCCATCCCTCCTGAGCTAGGGCAAAAATGTGTGAGCCGGAGGCTAAAAAACTGTGAGCTAGCTCACACTAACTCAGCTTAGAGGGAACACTGATCCATACTACTGATATTTTTTAAAATATCAAAAAGCCTGCTATTGGTTGCTCTGGGGGATGGCAGATGGGAAGGAAGGTGCCGAAATCCGTGTCTCCTCAAACCCACTTTCCCCAAGCCCACTTTGCATATGATCTTTCAGGAATGATCATGCCAAAGCAAGGATGGGGAAACCCACAACGGAGCCAGGGAAGTTCTAGACATTGGCAGAAGTATAACAATGACAATGTAATGTGGAAGGCAAAATAAAATCTGCTGTGGTTTTGAGGGAATGCAGAGCAAGCAACTTCAGAGATGTACAGAATGATGAGTAGGGCCCTTCGCTAAACATCCTAGACTCAGTCCCTGGCATCTCCAGTGATGATATGGCTAGTGAAGACCTTTTGTCCTGTATATTAGGGAGCTACTGCAAATTGGCCTGGTCTAGATGCACCAGTGTCAGACAACTTCATATGTTTTCTACATTCCCCCCCCCCCCAAATATTGTGCTAGCTCATACCAAAGAATTCTGTGAAAGGATCTTGTTCTCCAAAGACTTCCCTGAAGACCTCGTCTGCATCACGAAAGGTGAACATGAAGTCAGGTGTCCCTCCTGAGCTCTGATAATGATCAGTTCCTTTCAAGAAACGAATCAGATACATATGTTCAGACCACATAGTTTCAGCAAGCCATGATGCCTTCTAGGGTGGGAAGAGAGACAGTAAATGGGGGAGAGATCTGTTTCAGACAATTATGCCTTTGCCCAAAGCAGGCTACTGAGCCAAAAGGAGAAGGTCAGACAGGGAAGGAGCCCTGGCCACATCAGCACGACTCAGGAAAACCATGATTCTCAAGATGCTTTATTCCACCTTATTAAAAGGGCAGACTCCATGCCTACATCTCTTAAGAACAATGGTCAAACAGGAGGGGAGGCACATGTCAGGAATGCAGAGAGTTTATCACTCAAGACGGAAATACCTTTAGCCATATTTTGAGCCAACTGATTCTTCACCAAAGTCATTAGGATAATTTATAATACAATGAAAGTTTTACCAGCAGCAATGGTGTAGTGCCCATAGAACAAGGTGGGGCGGCTACCAAAGGTTATTGCTGTCCACAACTGCAGTACTAGGTTTATCCGTTTCCTCCTCCCTAACTGGAACACTCAATGGGTGTGTTCAGATGCGCCGTTTGATCTGGTGTCATGACAGTTCAGCAACGGATTTTATATGCACGATCACACAGTCAACATCTGCCTCTCGTCCCTAGCCATTGGTTTCCAGCTCAAAACCACTTTAACTCGGAGTATTTTGTTACCAGGTCCCAAAGTGGTGTTTTCTCAGCTCTCCCGTTTAAAGCCGCATTTCCCCCCTGTGTGATCGATCCTCCGGTGTCAAGCCACTTCCGGTTTAAACCCCCTCCCCCCTCAAAAGCTGCCCAAGGCTTCCACTTTTAGCGCCAGCGGTGTGCGCATAGGCAGAGCTCCGCTACTGTGTTTAGAAAACCAACATTTAAACAGTCACTTGTTTTAGAGTTTAGATGAGTTCGCGATCTCATGGAGGCCATTTTCGGGTCAAACGTTTAAAGGGAAGTATTTTGTTGGAGCAGTTGGATTGATTCACCCTGGTGGTTCTGCGCATGCGCCATGGTAGTTTCACCCCCCCATTCTATGGATGAGCACTTATGCGCATGTGCAAACTGAGAAAAAAATTTAAAAACCCGCTGACACGCTCCCACGCGTAGGTAGTGTAGACGCCAGGGAGCGCCGTGACTGCGTGGTGAGGCAGGATAAGGGAAGTAAGTGTGATCACGATTATCCAGATCAAATATAATCCGGTTAGAACCGGAGCAGTTTAACCGGGTCTCAGCACACCATCTGACCGCACCCAAAGAGTGGTTTTATTTGCAGTCCTCACCCTGCCATAATTCTTTCCAGCCACTGAGGGTGCTGTGGGTGCAGCCCTTGCTGTCTCAAGAGAGACTAATGGAATAATGTTCAGCAAGATTGTACAAGAAAAGCTGATTTTTGACAGGAAAACTAATGCCAACAAGAAGATACAAAGGGAGGATCTGTAAACTTCAACACTGGGTGAGTAAGATGAATTAGGAGTAACATTCATATTTAAATAAAATTTAATAACAGACATAATTCTTAAATAGGATTGCCAGCCCCCCCCCCCCGGCCACTGGCAGAGGATAGGGGGTTAGGGTTGCCACATCGAGGTTGGAAAACTCCTAGAGATTTGGGGATGAAGGCTAGAGAGGATAGGGACCTCCATGAGGTGCAATGCCATAGAGTCCACCCTCCGAAGCATCCATTTTCTCCATGGAAAGTTATCTCTGTAGTTTGGAGATGAGCAGTAATTCCAGGGAATCCCCAAGTCCCACCTGGAAGCTGGCATCCCCATTCTAAAATCACACATTTCTGTTGAAATTTTGTGGGGTGGGGGCAGAAGAGGAGAAGGGGATACTATCAAATATGAACATCATTTTGAAACAATCACTTTCTTTACATGCTGAACAAAATTCACATGTTTTCAGGGTGGAAGGCAGGAACCACTAGTGTGTACATGCTAGCAATGAAAACAACCCAGAAGTAAGGCAAGTAGTGCATCCTTTGCATACATGAAGATTATGTCCCTGCATCATAACGAGTTCCTTTGAATCTGGTGCTCACCTGTACTTGCGCTTGAAAGTCCTTCGATGCCATAGAGGTCATAAAGATCACGCTTATAATCTGGAAGGGAGAGGGAAGAAGACCCTGACCCTGAACTTCAACCAGGTTCTTGATTGCATAAACATTTAGCAGCACTGCTTGTGTTCCCTCTTATCAAGAGACCGGGGGGGGGGAGTGAAAGCCCAGCAATAATTGGCAGAGGGATAGCCCCATAGCCAGGAATTTATTTGACGGGGGTGGCAGCTTTGGGGGGGGGCGCTAATTAAATTGAATTAAATTAAGGAGGGGAGGGACGGTTTGCACTGCCCCAGGCCGCGCTGGCCCCACAAGGCCAGGTACGTCTCTGGAGGGGAGGAGGGAGCCTGGGCTGTGCAATGCCACCTTTTATTCTTCACGGGCCTGCGCCAGCCCTTATAATCCTTCCTTCCTTCCTTCACCCAGCCCCACCCAATTAAAAGGCAAGGTAACACCAACACCTCACACCTCAGACTCCCTCCCCCACCCTGTGCCAGCCCACGCCAGCTCTTGTAATCCTTCCTTCCTTCCTTCCTTCCTTCCTTCCTTCCTTCCTTCCTTCCTTCCTTC